ACTCCAGAGGAGACAGCACCCAACAAGGCCTACCCAACCCATCCAAGAGTGCTGATGGGAAGAGGCCTAGGACCAAAATGTGAGTAAACAACAGAAGAAACCCTAGCACAATTAAGAAACCTGATGGTTAAGAGTGGCCCCAAAGGGAAACCCACAAGATGAGACTCACACCACCATTACAAGCAGAATTCTAGAGACAGAGAAGTGTCTTGGCTACAAGTATTGTCAGAGCAGGTGAAAGAAATGAAGTGAGAGGGAAAAATGAAATCAGAAATGAAAGGAAATCAAGTACTTGTTAAGGGCAAAACACTTTGTTAAGCACTGGGGATACCAAGAGGCAAAAGCCATGAATTCTGGGTAGGATGCCCCCAAGGGACTCACCTTCTCAAGGGGGAGATGATGCCTGGGAAAGTCAGACAGTTGGTCAATACATATTTCTTAAAGGGCCTACTCTGTGCAAGGGGTTTCCAGGCTCATGCCAGTCAGATGGAAAGGTCCCTTGGTCCTCAGGGGGTGGTGCCAAGGCAGATGACGATGGTTCTTCCCCAGCATCATTTCCGTTCATAAAAACACAGCTGTTGCTGACGTTGAATCATTTGACGGTGGGGAGAAGACCCTTTGCTGGCTGAAAGCAGGTCCGGACTGTGAATCCTCAGCAAGATGCTTCCCTGAAATGCACTGCCGGGGACAGGCCAGTAGCCGGGCTGACGGTGGGCTTTGCTGCTGCTGCTCCTTCAGCTCTCGAGGGCAGGTGCGGTAAGCCTTCCACAAAGGCTGCTCCTTAAGACCAGGCTGGAAGCAGAGCCAGTAGAAGATCTCACAGAGGACGGGAAGCCTAGCTCAAATAGTGGGCTCCCCAAAACAGAATGAAACAAACAGAATTAAATTACTCCAACAAGAAATATTAGGGGGTAAAAGTCAAAAGATTGAAAAACATAAGAATATAGAAAGTATTTCATGTTTTAAAAAAAGGACCCTCAAAACAGGTTGAAAAGAGATAAAGAATGATCAATGTCTTGTGATCAACAGGATTCCCATGAGCACTACATAAACAGAGCATTGCAATAATTAATAAACATGTAAACACAAATGATAATGATGAAACAGCACACCAGAATTCCTACAATGCTGCTAAAGCAGTCCTTATAGGAAAAATCATATCCTTTCAAACACATACTGCTAAATAAGAAAAGAGAGGATAAGTGAACTGAATGTGCATTTTTTAAAATTAGAAAGCCAACAAATAATTTAGTGAGAAATAATCACAGAGAGGAGATATTAACAATTAGAGTGGAAATAAATAAATTGAAAACAAAAAAACATAGAAATGATCAAAATTCATAAAATGGGTAAATCCGTAGCTAATCTTATTAAAAAGAAGAGAACAGAAAATCAAATCAATAAAATAGCAAATGAGCAAGGTAAAATCACAGCAAAATCAGAAGAAATAAAAATAATAATCAACACGTTATGCACAGTTCTATGCTAACAAAATTGAGAACACACAAGAAAGAGGGGAAAAACTGCAGAAATATAAACTACCCAAGCTATCAAAAGACCAGAGGGAGACCTTGAATAAATCCATTTCAGAAAGGGAAATAGATCCAGATGTAAAGGAAATACCAAAGGGTGGCGAGGGAGGGGAGACTCCTGGTCTTGACGCGACCAGGAAGATTTTATCAAACTTTTAAAGAATATTTAGAAAATTCTCCAAAATTGAGAAAGAAAGCACCCTGCCAGAATCCTTTTTTTTTTGCAACAAATATAGTACCAATACTTAAACCAGGGAAGGATAAAACACAGAAGAAAACTGCAAGCTCATATCATTAGTGAAGATTGACTCAATAATTCTACGAATTTATTTTGATTTATCAACAATCACTTCCATAAGCTTGTGAGCTTTAAATTTTTCTCCCCCTCCTTCCCCAAGATGGTGTGCAATCTGATATAGGCTCTACATATACATTCCTATTAAACATATTTTCACATTAGTGATGTTATAAGAATGAGAATCAATAGGAGGAACCACCAGAAAGAGGAAAGAAAATACAACAGAAGAAAAAAAAATAGCAAATAGTATACTTCGATCTGATTCAAACTCCATAATTCTTTCTCTGGATGGGGACAGCATTTTCCATCATGAGACGTTTGGAGGTGTCTTAAATCCTTGCATGCTGAGAAGGGTTAAGTCTATTAACATTAGTCTTTGCACAACGTGGCTGTTTCTGTGTACAATGTTCTCCTGGCTCTGCTCACTTCACTCAGCATCTGACTCAATAATTCTAAACAAAATCCTAACACACTATGGCAATTTATCCAAGAAATCATTCCACATAGGAATGACCACATAGGATTTATACTAGGGGAGCAGAACCACCTGAGTAGCTGAGGCCTGTTCAGTTCTCATGACTAGGTCACACCAACATAATAAAAATGGCAGTACAACCTAAATTAATTCACACTTTTAATGTAATACTAACCAAATTAGCAAGGGATGCTTTATAGGCTTGAAAAAATAACCAAAAAATACTCACTTGGAAAAAACCAAAAGATCCAGAACATGAAGGGAAATGACGGAAAGAAGGCAGGATGAGGGGGAACGGAAGCCCCAGGCCTCCAAGGGCCGCATAAAGCAGCAGTCCTCAAAGCTGCCTGGTCCTGGTTAGTGGGAGATCAATGGAGCAGAACAGGCAAGGGACAATCAGAAATAATGGAACTCCATAATCCAGTGTTTGATGAAGTGAAAACCCTAAGTGACCTAGGGGAAGACTTATTGGGAAAATCTGCTGGGAAAAATGGGGAGCGGACTGGCAGAAAGGAGGCTCAGACGAAATTCTTACACCAACTCTTGAACTGTTGTCTGGGGCCCCCAAGCCACTAGGCGGGCAGGCAGGACTTGAACCCAGATATTTCTGGAATGGTGTACAGGACACTCTGAGTTTGAGTGACAGAACCAGGGAGAGGAGCTGAGACACTGAGGCAGTGAGATGTTTGGAGATGCTCTACCAGGGCTGAGCCAAGGCTGAGGCTGAGAGAGGGTAGGGGAGACTGGATTCCCTCAGGGGCTCTAGTGAGGCTTATGAGGTGCCCATGCCTGGACAGATTATAAACCCGAAGACATTTTGGGAGGGCTGGAGGCCTCCCAGGAAGAGAAGCATCTGGAGGGCCAGAGAGGGCACATCCCAGGCTCAGGCAGGCCAGTGACACCGAACCAGAAGCACCTTCACCAGAGTTCAGAGGAAGGTCTCCCTGGAGACAGCCCTGAGGTGGCCAGAATCCTCCAGTAGATGCCCCCAGGGGCTCCCGGGCAGTGTGTGTGTATACTTGTGTGTGCGTGTGTGTATGTGCATGCATGTGTGTGCGTGTGCATGTGTGTGTGTGTGTGTGTGTGTGTGTGTGTGTGTGTGTGTGTGTGTGCATGCCCTCGTCCAGGGCTTAGCGCAGGGCCTGGCACGCAGGAGGGGCCTCCAGATGTTTCTTGGTTGATTGCTCCAGCTGTCTGGGCTGGTGTCTTTTCATTCTACCAGGGTTGGGGCTCCATGAGGCTGCAGAGAAGCTGGGCATCTCTCCCAGGCGCTGGGCACCTACAGGGAGAGGGAACTGGTGCTCAGAGGGAGACCGTCAGAGGCTGCGCGGGCACCAAGGGACAGAGAAACCAAAAGGGCGGCAGTGAGCAGCTGGGGAGAGGGGAGGCTGGGACAAGACCCCGGGAGGGGGCAGGAGAGAGAATGCCAGATAGAGGTTCCGAGCTGGAGTCTTGCTCTCGCCAGCTGGGTGGCCTAGGCCAGGTCACTGTCTCGGGTGCCTCAGTGTTGGAACTGGCTGCGAATCATATCTGGTCCCTGGAATCAGCACTTTTGGATTCGATTTAGACTGAACTGCGGAGGCCTTACAAGCAGAGTTTGTTAGTTTAACTCCACCACTTCTCTGGGCTCCAGCCTGGCCCTGAGCTCTCCCAGCTGGAAGAGGAGGGGGAGCAGGGGAGAAGAGCAGGCCTAGTTGGGACCACCCTGGCACAGGGCATGCCTGACCACAGAGACTTAACGCTGACCACCAGGGGCTGTGAGTCCCCCTGGTCCCAGGGTGCTTGGCCACCACCAGACTTTCCAGACTAGCTTGGCGCTAGTGGGTGCTCGCCTCCCCCTTCAGCTCCACCATAGTCTGGAATCTGTCCTGACTACTGGCCAGGTCCTTGGACCCCATTTGCCGGCAGCTGGCAGCCTTGCTAACATGGATCGGGCTCGGGGTTCCGTCGGTGCCTCCGGTTTTCTCCATGGAAGATTTTTGTCGCTGCAGTTTCTTCATCTGTATGTGACTTCTAGTCCAGACCCACCCAGCTCTGGGCTTAGAGGCCTGAGCTCAGTCTCAAGGGGTTTGCCCTCCAAGCAAACTCTCTTGGACCCATGGCCCCATCCACAGTCTTCTCTGGGGTTGTTCACATTTGATGTGTTTTGTCCCCAACCTGGAAACATCAAAATTTGTTTCACGTTTTAACAAAAAAGGGCAAAAGATCCCAGGCAAGCACTCAGGCTAACAATACCTCTAGTAGAGGCATTTATTTAACCTGATGCAAAAACAAACCCCTAAGCTGAGGCCCCCCCACTGGGGGCATTTCAGCCCCACTCCTACCATGACCTGGTGGCTAGACTAGGTCCTAGCTATTCCTCTCTCTTGCCCCCTTCCCTTGCAGGGACCTCAGGCTTCCAAAGGGCTTTGGAGAATCCCCCCGGAAAGCGTCCAGCCCTTTCCCCCATACTTGCAGAGACCAAAACAGCTTTCCTCTCCTATGTCCTGGTCTGTCCCACTTGTGTTTTTCGGCTCTAGCTCCCACCCAAACTCCAGCCTCTCCACCTCCCCCGAAGGGCTTCACAGACAGCAGGCTTCACCTGCAAGCAAGCCGAGTCTGTGTCCATGGGCAGACCCACTCCCCTCCAGGGCCCTGTGTGCCTGGGCTCCTTTAGCAGAGGCCAAGCCTTGGCTGGACATGTTTCCTGTGGCGCATGAAAAAGGAAGCCCATGACCCAATTCACAGAGGCAGTGAGGAGCAGGTGGAATGCGTGTGTCCCTCGGGGTCTTGGCCTGTGGTAAACCTCGAAGGGCCTTGCTTTGGCAGTTCTGACAGGAGATGTCAGGCCTTGGGCCCAGCCCCCCACCCCAATCTCTGGCCTGCACAAAGTGCAGGCTCTGTCTTCACTAGCTTTCTAAAATTACAGCAGCAGCGGCAGGACTTAGGGGTGGGGAGGCAGAAGACAGACGGGGCCCTTCCACCTGGGTGCCTGTCTGTGTGCCTGGGCATGGGGCTGGCAGTGACTTTCTGCCAAAGTGAATGGGGGTCTTTGCTCAGGCTCCCTAAAATATTCAAGACTGCGTCCCCCTTCTCGGGCACCTGCAGCTTCTTTTCTCTGGCTCCCTCCCTCTCTTTTTCTCTCCTTATCTCTCCCATTTCTCAATGTCTTTCTCTTTCTCCCCCATTTCTCTGTCTCTCTCCCTTTTCTTCTCCATTTCTTTCTCTCCTCCCCCTCTTTTTCTCCGTCTCTTACCTTTTCCTCTGTCTCTCCATTTCTCTCTCCTACCTGCCTCCCTCCCCCACTTTTCTCCCTCCCCCATTTCTCCTTTCCTCCGTCTCTGTCTCTCCCATTTCTTTCCCCCATTTCTCCTTTCCTGTGTCTGTCTCTCCCATTTCTCTCTCTCCTCTGTCTCCCTCCCCCATTTCTCTTCTCTTTCCTATCTCTCCCCCATTTCTTTCTCTCCTCCCTCATTTCTCTCTCCCTTTTCTTCTCCATTTCTTTCTTTCCTCCCACCTTTTTCTCCATCTCTCACCTTTTCCTCTGTCTCTCCCATTTCTTTCTCTCCTCCCTGTCTCCCTCCCCCATTCCTGTCTCCCTCCCCCATTTCTCTTCTCTTTCCTCCCTGTCTCTCTCCCATTTCTCTGTCCCCTCCATTTCTCTTTCTCTCTCTTCCCTGTCGCTGTCTCTCTCCCCCATTCCTCTGTCTCCCTCTTCCATTTCTCGTCTCTCTCTCTCCCCCTTTTGCAACCTCTGTCTTTCTGTCTGCAGAGAAAGGACCTGCTGCTTTTTGCTGCAACCCTGCCTGGTGGGGGATTGACATGATGCTGGAGGAACATGTCTGTATTTCTTTTGTATGTGACCACTTCAGGGAGACTAAGGGAGTGACTCTCATACTTCGCTTCCAGTCAGCAGAATTTCATTCATCCCTTTTGCCCTTTGTTATCCTGGGGTTCCTAAGTCCAAGTGTGGCCTCTGACCAGGTTCTGGGAGTGAGGAGGAGGAGGTCCTGGTACCTCAGGGCTGGCTCTTTTCAGGAGACCCTTTGGGTGCTGTCTTTCTGTGTGTTGGAATTTAGGGGAAGGACAGCCCTTGCCCAGAACCACATGGTCATGTCCATCCTTCTGGAAATTCTGCTCCAGAACCCCATGTTACTTTGGCAGGGTACCTGTCCTTCTTTCTTCTTTAGTGTAGCTGCCAGGCCCTGGGAGCCCCCAGACTCAACCTCGTTCAAAGTGTCCCTGTTAGAATGTAGCCCCGTGCTGCAGAGAGGTCAAAACAGCCCCTCATCTTCTGAGTGAGCTGATCCCAGCATGTCAAAGAGGGAACTGGGAGTCCTGGGATTCACAGGGCCTTAAAGGTACCCAAGAAGGCCTCAGCCCACTGCCCATACTCAGCACAGAAGGCACAGTTCGGGGGAGCTCAAAGGTCCCTCTCAGATGCCCTGGGAAGCCTTCCCTGATCGGCTAGCTTTTGTGACCTTGGGCCCTTGCAACAGATGACCTCTCCCAACCAGGAGAGCTGAAAGTACAGCCCAGGTGAACCAGGATGGCTATGCAGTGAGGGCAGAGAAGGGACAGAGCCTGGAGACAGATTGCCCAAAGGATTGGATTGAGGGGGTGAGGGTGAGAGACTCCAACCATCTCCTCTTGGGTGGGTGGAAAGATGCTGGCGCCCTGGACAAGGGTTAGGGTTAGGGTTCACAAGCGTGTTTTGGGTGTGCCCATCTCAATGTCCAACAGGTGGGGATGTGGGGGACAAGGAGGGGACAGAGAGAAGATGCCTGAAGCCCCGGGTGCTGATGAATGGAGACAGAGGACAGATGGATACAGGAGGACAGGGAAGGAAGGAGAAGGAAGGGACAGCCAAGGGGTGGGGGGGGGGGGGGGGAAAGGGGGACGGAAAGGGGGGACAGGAGGACCTAGGCGGACCCCCACACCCGGGGGGAGAAGTCTGCAGTCTGTGTGTGGGGGGGCGGCAGCGCTGCAGTCTCTCCCTGCTGGTCCTGCAGGTTAGACGGGGTTCAGTTTTCTCCTCTGGTCAATGGGTACAAGGAGACAGAGGCAGGTGGTGTCACAGAGCACTGGAAGACTGAGTTCAAATCCAGCCTCAGACACGCGGAGCTGCGGGTCACCGTCGCCTGCCTCAGATTGCCAGGGTAGTTGTGAGGACCTTGAGGTCACGTTTAGGAAGAGAATGTTTTACAAACTGTAAGGTGCTACGCTGCCACCATCGTCATTTAGTCCCCAGAACCAGCCTCCGCATCAGGCATCACACCAGCTCCTCCTCCCGGCCTTCGGTCCCTCCCCCTCACCACGCCCACGTGGCCTGCCTCCTACGCACGCGCAGAAAACGGGGGAGGGGATCTTGGAGCCAACTAGAGGACCGTCCCCGAAATCGGAGCTCCTGCGCCTGCGCCCCCTCTGGACCGCGTCGGCCTGGCGCCCAGAGCGCTCCTTCGCCTCCCTTCCCGCCTCTGGAGTTCTCTACCCCCCCACCCCTCCCATCCCCCTGCCCCGTCCAAAGCCGCCCAAGAGCAGTGCGCATGGGCTCCCTCCATCCCCGCCCCCAGCGCCTTTCTTCTGGCTCCCGGGCCCCGGGTCCCGCCCTCGTGCGGGACGTGGTGACGTCAGGGCGTCGCAGCGCGCGGGGGGCCCGAAGCAAGGCGGTTGGCGGGCGGAGCAGTGACGTCGGTTATTTAGCCCCGCCCCCTCGGCGTGCGCTTTCTTTTGCCCCTCCTCCGTCTCTTGCTCCTGCTCTAGCGTCTGCTCTTCTCGCTCCTCCCGCTCCCACTCGTGCTCCTGCTCCCGTTCGCCTCTGCGCGGCCCGGCCGCGGTCCCCTCGCCTGCGTCGGGCGCCGCAGCAGCCAGCTCTGCAAGCCGCATTCTTCCCTCCGGCCGCACGCGAGCCCTGAGGCGGCGCGTGGCGCAGGCCTGGGCCGTTGGCGAGCCGAGCGGAGCCGAGAGGAGCCGAGCGGCGGCGGCGGCGGCGGCGGCGGCGGCGGCGCGCACCGCTGTGCGCCTGCGCGAGGCGGGAGCGCCGGCCGGCCCCTCCCCTCCTCCTCTTGGGCGGTGCGCGCGTCC